GGTAGGACAGAAAATGACTTCTATACTTTTAAAATTTGCACAAAATTTAGGAGGTCTTTAGACCGAGCCAACTATAGCAAACTCTTTAACACTTATAAAGATTACTCAAATCCCGTAACACTGCTTTTTTCCTTACTTGGGATAAATTGTATGATTTTTGTTTTGTTTTTTTTTGTTTTTTTTTTGTTTTTTTTTTGTTTTTTTTTTTTTGTAAATAAACAGTGGCACGGGAAATATAGAATGGTCTCTCCCTGCTCACTTGCACATCCTCGATTACAAAACTTGTTTATAAAACGGACTGTAGAAGATTTCCGAACGAACAATTTTTAATTCAAAAGAGCCTACAATTATTAATAAAGGCGTGAAAAAAAATTCTGCGATAACTGTCCAACAAGTTTTGAAAAAAACTGCTACTCTCTCTCTCTCTCTCTACTTATTGTTGTTTCTCAACTCGCCTTCCATAAGTCTCTTAACAAAATTTCTTAATGAATAATAACACCAAGCACTCTTATTCTAAAATTTCTACAATCTATGAAATCCCACCATGAAGGAAATGACATGTTTAACGATTTGGTTTGATAAATTACAATTTCATACATGCTATAATTTACCTGGTGAATGTTGCTTAGCTTTTCAAAAAAATTTCGTCCAATTGAAATATTTAACATACACCTGAAATTTTATAATAAAGTCAATATTTTGTTGGCTACCCATTGCTTTCAATAACAGCTTGACATACTCACTATTAATTTCATTAGGATATCATTTGTAATTCTTCTCGTTAAAATTTCTCATATTATTTGGACGTTTCCTAATTCTTTCTTATCATAAATGTTCAATTGGGTTCGATATTTTTGAATTTGTAACACTATTTTTTATAAAGACCGATTATTTCACCACATTGGATCTGGACATTTTAATATTGAAAAAATTATTAAAATGGTTTTTTTTAAAAAAAAACTTCAAAACAACTTGGATGTTTATTTAAGGCGTGCATTCTCACATGTATTGTTATTTAAGTACGCTTAATTAATTTTTTTTTGTCAGAAATATCTTTGAGAAAGATTTTCGGACAAATTTTTTATTTCATCATCATAAAAAAGTAGAACTGTTTCGAAACTCTAAAAATCCCCAAACCAAAAAAAGATCCTTAATCTTTATTTTTTATAAAAAAAACAACTAACATTCTATTAATAAAAGTAATAATTTTTTACATATTTGGCGGAGGTGAAATTTCAGGGAATTGCATCAAAATAAAATATTGATCTATATAATAATTGCATGTTATTTTAATAATATATCATCTTTATCCCAAAAATTAGCAAGTGATTGTGTATTTGCTTTATATGCTGCATTTCCTAAAGATTCACTTGCACCATCTCTTTCTACGGCAATATATATGTATTTTTTTTTGATCTCTTTAATATATTTAACATTCATGTGCCAAATAGGCTTGCAGTTTATTAACAACTTTCGTTCACAATTACATGCTTTGCATTTGTCCTGAATGTTCTGAAGGATAACATTCAAATGTTGCCAATTGCATTTTTTGGTCGCCCACATATTTTTTAATTGTCAGGACAATAATATCAAAATAAAAGGAACTTTTGATAAAAACGTTGGTCACTTGAAGAGAAAACGAATTATGTCATATTATTATAAATCAATTTTAGGAGTTTCAAAATACTTTGGGAGTTTTGAAATAGTTTAAGAGTTTCGGGTTAGTTTCGAAATTTTCTAAACTAATTTAGAAAGGAGGTTAGAGTTTAGAAAGGAACCTCTGCTTTTGACCATGTAGTAGTGCATTCATTTTTGATGTTTATTTCATTCAATTGCATTGGCATTGGATGTTAGTTATTCTAAATCGTTAAACGAACGAACATGGAGCTCTATATATTTGTGATCATTGTCTAATAAAAATTTAATTGTCTTTTAAATAGATGATCATTTTTATAGTCGTGTAATATCAACAGTAAATGTTTATTTAATTGACAATCAGAAAGTAAAGTGAACAATAAAGCAACCAAAATATATTGTTTCTAATTCCAAACTCCTTAATTTATCCAATTTATTTCTTTTAAGAGCACAAGTTTAATGCTATCCTATACAAGGGTTGATTTCACCATCATCATTGTATTTACTTTGCAATTCATTTTTTTCGTTTTTCAATTCACTACTTTACTTTTCAATTTCTTGAGTTCACTTCTCAATTTATTGTTTTCGTTATTCAATTTATTGATGGTATTATTTTTTTTACTGATTGTTTTATTGTTTTTATTTTTCAATTCATTGTTTTCACTTTTCAATTTATTAACTTCATCTCTCAATTCATTGATTGCTTGATCGTTGTTTCCATCATTTTCATTACTAAATCTACTAATTGTTTGTTCTTGTTTTTGGATTTTATTTCTCAATTCATTGATTGTTTGATTGTTTTTTCTTTCTAATTTATCTTTTTCACTTTTCAATTTATTGTTTTCATTATTAAATCTATTGATTGTTTGATCTTTTTTTTTGTTTTTATTTCTCAATTCATTGATTGTTTGATTGTTTTTTCTTTCTAATTTATCTTTTTCACTTTTCATTTTATTGAATTTACTTTCCAATTCATTTTTTTCATTTTTTTCATTTTTTTCATTTTTTTCACTTTTCAATTTATTATTCTCAGTTTCCAATTCTTGGATTTTATTTGATTGATTCCCAAAATTTATAATATCCCACATCAATTCTTTATTTTTACTTGTTAATTCATTGTGTTTACTAGCCAAGTCATTGTATGTAATTTTCAATTCATGGATTATCTTGTTGGATTTGCTTTCTGATTCGTTGTTTTTATTCACCAATTTTTTGATTTCACTTTTTAATTCCTCCTGATCTTTTAAAATATTAGTATAATCATCTTTACTAATTATTGAAAGCTTCCCAAAATCAAAATGGTTCGTTGGTATTGTAACTTGTCCTTGCACAAATTGTTGTAATAATTGCAATTGTGTGAATTTTTGCTGATTCTTCAAGAGTTGTTGCTGATGTTGTGTAAAGTTTTGCTGTTTTTGTAGGAGCTGTTGATGTTGTTCTAAGAGTTCTGAGGGATGTTGCTGGTGTTGAGTGGGTTTTTGTTGACATTCTAAGAGTTGATGTTGTTCTAAGAGTTCTGAGGGATGCTGCTGGTGTTGAGTGGGTTTTTGTTGACATTCTAAGAGTTGCTGTTGTTGCTGCTGCTGTATGAATTGTTCCAGTTGTTGTAAGAGTTCTTGCTGTTGTTGTAAATGCTCTTGCTGTTGTTGTAAGAATTTTTGTTGTTGCAAGAATTCTTGCTGTTGTTGTAAGGGTTGTTTCTGTTGTTGTTGTTGTGAGAGTTGCTGCTGCTGTTGTGTTAATTGTTGCTGTTGTTCTAATAATTTTTGCTGTTGTTGTAAATATTGTTGCTGTTTTTGTGGAGGTTGTTGTAATTGTTGTTGTAAGAGTTGCTGCTGTTGTTCTAAAACTTCTAAAAGTTGCTTTTGTGAGGTTTGTTGCTGTTCTTGTAAAATTTGTTCTTGTTGTTGCTGTTGTTGTAGTGTTTGTTGCTGTTGTTGTTGTAAATGTTGTTGTTGTTGCAAGAGCTGTTGCAATTGTTGTAATTGTTGTGTGAGTTTTTTCATTTGTTTTTTTTCTTCTAAGGGTTGTAGTTTTTGTTGTTGTTCTAAAAATTGTAGTTGTTGTTGTAAAAGTTGCTGCTGATATTGTGAGGATAATTGTTGTTGTTTTTTAAAGTTTTGTTCTTGTTGTTCAAAGAATTCTTGCTGATGCTGTATGAATTGACCAATATCATAAACATTCAAATTTTCTTTATCAATGTCACCACCATCATACTCACTAAGGCCTTCTGAAGTGACAATTGGATCCGCCATTTCCTTTTTTTTTTTTTAAAAAAAAAATAAAAAAAAAAAAATTTCTGTGAAACCAAAATTTATATATAGTTATTATGTATATTAATATGCACAACAATCAAAAAGATTTTAAATTCATTCATATCAATATTAATATTAATATGTGAAATTCAAATTTTCCGTATCCAAACGCACCCACCTCAAAAAATTTAATTATAAATTTCAATTTCAAGATTCGAATACAGCCAAACTTATCAACAGCGGCTTTAAAATAATTATTATTATCACCTCCACCTTGTGGACATTCAGCGGAGAATAAAGGATTTTTAAGAATATTCTACACATATATTTGTCTTAAATGAGTCATATTTTGATCTGTGTTTTACAATATAATTATGCGAAAACCAATCTTGATTAATGACAACAAAAATATGTGATCATAATAATTATTATTATAATTGTGAAATTACATTATTACTTATTGTTGTTTCCCAACTCATCTTCCAGTAAGTTTCTTAACTAATTCCTTAAAGAATAAATAACACCAATCACTCTTATTCAAAAGATGAAACATCCCCGCCCTAGAAGAAATGGCATGTTTAGTGACTTGATAAATTACAATTTCAGGCCTGCTATAATTTACCTGGTGAATTAGCCAGCAAGAATGATTTTATTGACAAATGTATAACTGATAAGTTCTCCTGTAGACTCATTGTATATTTTATATATTAATATATATATACACTACGTCAAGAGTATGCAATAAATTGCACAAACCCCCTGCATAGTGAAAACAAAAAAAAATTTGTATCATTATATAACTTAGTTTTTCATGTAAAATTCTACTCTTTTATAATGAATAAAAAAATCCATATTTAACATACACTTGAAATTTATAATAAAGTCAATATTTTGTTTGCTAGCCATTTCTTTCAATAATAGCATCTATCTTCTTGGCATACTCTATTAATTTCATTAGGACATCATTCGTAATTCTTCTCATTAAATTTCTCATATTCTTTGAACGTCTTATAATTCTTTCTTACCATAAATGTTCAATTGTGGTTCAAGTCAAGCGATATTTTTGAACTCATAACATTTCACCGCCATGTTAGCTTTCATTTAAATCCGACATTTTAATATTGAAAAATTTTATTCGAAAATTATTAAAAAATGATTTTTTTCAAAAGCAACTTGGATGTCTATTTAAGACGTATATTCTCATATGTATAGTTATTAAGTACGTTTTTGTTTAATTTTTTTTGTCTTTGAAAAAAAATTTTTGGACGAATTTTTTATTTCATCATAAAAGAGTAGAATTTTGCGTGTATAATCATGAAAACCTAAGCTACAAAATTATATATATGATTCTTTTATGTTTTACTTTTTTATTTCATTTGACATTCCAACTACATTTGCGTTGGATGTTGGTCATCCAAAATCGTTAAACAACCCATTGAAGAACGAATATGGAGTTTGACATATTTGTGATTATTGTTCAATAAAAATGAACGGAATACAAATTTTATTGTCTTGAAAAAACTGTACTATACAAATAAATAAACAATCATTTTTGTAATTATAATTAATATCAACAGGAAAAGTTTAATTGACAACCATTAAGAAAATAAAATGAAGCAATTCAACAAGAAATAAATAAATAACATATATATTATTATTTAATTCTTTACTCTATTAACTAATTTCAATTCATTGAATTTACTTTCCAATTTACTGTTTTCACTTTTTAATTCATTGATCATTTTATTACTTTTCAATCCATTATTATTACTTCCCAATCCATTGTCTTGGCTTTCCAATTTGTTAGTTTTAATTCCCAACTCAATGTTTTTACTTTCCAATTCTTTTATTTTATATTCCAATTTTTTGAGCTTGTCTATCAATAAATAAAATTCACATTTCAAGTAATAGTTTTCCCTTTTCTATTTTTCTAAACTATTAGTATAAATCATCTTTACTAATTATAGAAAGTTTTCCAAAATCGAAATGGTTGGTTGGTATTGTAACTTGTCCTTGTACAAATTGTTGTAATAATTGTAGTTGTATGAATTTTTGCTGATTTTCCAAGAGTTGTTTCTGTTGTTGTGTAAATTGTTGCTGTTTTTGTAGAAGTTGGTGGTGTTGTTTTAAGAGTTCTGAGAGATGTTCTGGTGTTGTGTAGGTTTTTGTTGATATTCTAAGAGAAGTTGCTGTTTTTGTTGTTGGAAGAATTGTTGCTGTTGTTGTAAGGTTGTTATTGTTGTCGCTGTGAGAGTTGTTGTTGTTGTTATGTTAATTGCTGCTGTTTTTGTGATAGTTTTCGCTGTTGTTGTAAAAATTGTTGCTGCTTTTGTGAAGGTTGTTGCAATTGTTGTTTTTGTATGAGTTGCTGCTGTTGTTCTAAAACTTCTAAAAGTTGCTCATGTGAGTGTTGTTCTAAAAATTCTTGCTGATGCTGCGTGAATTGATTTGTATCATAAGTTTTCAGATTGTCTTTCACTAAGATCCTCTAAAGTAACAATTGATTCCCTATATATGTATCTAGTTTCTGGCAATCCTTTTCTTCCATCTTCACCTATGGCTGCCATTTCTTTTCAGCTTTTTAGAGGCTCAATGGTGCGAGAGAAAATTTTTATTAAAAAGGCGTTTAAATCGTTGTTGGTTCGATTCGAATCAAAAAGATTTTTTGAATCAGTTTGAACCAGTTCATATGTATGTTCTACCTTTATCATTTTTATTACCTCTTGTCTTTATGTTTTATACAGATGGATCCTCCATTTCATTTTTTTTTTTTTTAAAAAAATAAAAAAAAAAATGGAAATTTTTTTGTGAAACTACAAAGTATACCCATTCACAAAAGATTGGCAATAAAGTTTAATCAATAAAGTAGTTTAGGTTAGTAGTTTATGTTTATGTTTAGGTTTAGGTTTAGATTTCTGCTTAGTGTAAGTTCATTTTCTGAAACATTTCGGGAAGCCAAAAGAGTTTCTGGTCACAACACTGGCACCAATTCCATTCAATTCATTAATGGCATAGAAGACTTTGATGAACCTTTCTTTGAAGTCAACACAGCTTTAATAGGGCAGATTTCTGAATTATTTTTGCAAGAAAATCAATTAATTAGCCAACTATGCTATTGATCCAGAATTAAAAGGGCACAACAGTCATGATTGTTATATTTGTAGTCCTACATTAAACCTAGAAACATTATCATCAAATCCATCATCTTTGAATACTGTTGGTTCTCAAACTCATATTAAAAAATAATAATTTATGAAGAGGAACTAAAAAAAGAAGTATTGCTTGAAAGTATTTCTTTAAATGAAACCTTACCAGAAGCTCAAGATGCTCAAAATCTTAATGATGAATCTAACTCATCACAGCAAAGATTACTTGCTCTCACCACTTTTCTCATCACTTTCAATGTCTGGTTACTAAGTATTGGAGCAAAAATATCATCAATTCCATTGCATCTAGCCTCCTCATCATGATATGTTTTCAGTATTTGTCAGATTTGTAATGTATTTCACAAAATCCTATGGACATCACATATTGAAAATTTATGTGACCATTCCATATCAGGGATGACCATCCTGTCTTCTTGCTTTACACAACAATAGACATTGGGTGAGCAATAGGTTTTGTCAGATAGCAGCTGAGGGAACCCTTTGTAGTATATTCTCCATTCAATGATTACAATGGTGTAATCTGATACTTCATGACCAAATTATACAATGTTTTTTCATGATGGAATGTCTGCATGGATTACATTAAGTGAGATGTTTCTTTTTTTCATGTAGGTAAAACTGTGCATGTGGATCATTCCATGATTTTGAAAATTGTCATGTTTAAAGAAATGCTCTAATTTGCCATTCCAGCTTGTTCCAGCATGTTTTGGTAGTGCAAGTAGATGTGTAATGGGTGATTGATTGGCATGGTGTTGCCACTTCATGCAAGTGGGTCTGTTTGTATTTGGTCATCACCAAGGTGTAGAGGATATGAGAAAGGCCTTACACACTTATTTCTTTTAAAAAAGGGGAGAAATTCAATGGCAAGGTTGTGGTTTTTGATGGATGTTTCTTACATTTACATTTTTGGTGGCCAGTATCTGGTTCTAATTTTGAAAATTTCATCTTCTCTCAAGCATCAATGTGGTTAGTACCAATACAAGAAGAACCTAGCTATCTATTGAAGGTGTTATTTTTTAATGTACTCATAGTGTCCCTTCCTATTGGGGGAAACATCAAAGACTCCAGGTCAGGGTTTCCAAATAATATCAGAAGTTTGGCATTGTTTGATTCAACAAATCCTACAATCAGTATACTGTAGTTTGTGTCTGTTGTGTATTTTTGGAAAAAAGAATCATTTGGGACAACCA